ACAACTTTAGGTTACATTCTTTTTAAAGTATTTTTAAAGTAATTGTATACATTTCAGTATTTAAAAAGTGTGCAGGAACGATGTATGTTTAGTTGTGTGAAACAGACAACCTTAAATATTAAGCTAACATTCAGGGGACATTGTCAGTTTTACCTGCAGAAATAATAATGAGCCTGCTGCAAATAGGCTTGAACTTGACCGTGCATTGTAGAATAAATGAATGGATCTCATAGGGTAATACTGCTCACATGAAGAGGTGGCACTGGGAGACAGAGATTAGCCCTCGATTTAGAGTTGAGGCTTAAAGCTTGAATGTGTGTCTTTGACCTGTCACACATTGTTGTAGCAGTTAACAGTCAAAACTAATATTATCTTAATTTGGTGTTATAGTCCAAATATTTTTTTCCCTGTAATTTATCTCCAATTATTTAAAAAAAAATAAATCCCTAAACAGTGAGTCGATGTCACATTTTTATTCTGGCACATTCAGAGTCTTGACAGCATGATGAAGGTCAATGTGTTCACTGTGTGGGCGGGGCTGCTAGTTCAAGTTGCTGTCCTCTTTAAATGATCACAGCAGGATGTATACTAAGCCAGGTTGCAAGCTGTACTAGCATTTTCTTTACAATGGGGTCCATGCCCTCAGCATCTTGCCCTCTCATAGTCAGCCCCGCTGCTGACTGTGTCAAATGCAGTAAAGTGCTGTGAGTGACTTACCAGACATGTTCTTTCTTGCAGCACATAGGCTGCCTGTTTGTCTTCATCATTCTTGTCTATTTTCTTTCAGAGTCATGGCCGAGCTAAAGGAACGCACATTCATTGCCATTAAGCCTGATGGCGTGCAGAGGGGCATCATTGGTGAGGTCATCAAAAGGTTTGAGATTAAGGGCTTCAAGTTGGTGGGCATGAAGATGCTCCATGTAAGTATAGACTGAAAGAATCCAACCCTTACAGGTGAAAATGTATCATAGTGGTAAATATTTTTGCCCTTAAAACATTTTAACCATCTGCAACATATGGACAGATATTGTAAGTGTGCCAAGTAATGGGTAAGCCTGATTAGCCTACTCATCTGTTCCTGAGTGAAGCACAGCCAATTAGCTGTTAAGGTCTACTGATCCTGTAACATTTAACCTGATAATGGTAAGGTGCTGCTTTATGTGAACATCAAGTTTGCTTAAGTTATAAACCTGCAATATTTAAATATTTCTGTTTAAACATCTGTCCTGTTAGTGTTGGTATGAGAAACATGTTCTGATGATATGGTACTGGCCTAAATTTCCGTGCAATTTCTGAGAAATTGGTGTGATTGTTTCTACACCCAGACTTCGTCTGTTGCTTACAGCTAAAAAGCTGGGGGTAAACATGTTGATAAAGTTGCCAATTATATACAGTAGCGAATGGGTACTAATGCAGTTTCTAGAGCTGCATCAGTACACATATGGTGACAACACAGTTACTGTGATACTACAACAGTGGTCTCGAACTCCAGTCCTCGAGGCTGGTGTCTTGAAACATTTCCACGTGTCCCTGTTGCAACACACCTGAATTAGGTCATTAGCAAGACTCTATAGAACTTGACTACATGCTGAAATGGCAACCCCTAACCCTACTCGAGTAAATTTAAGTAAATGTAAGTGTTTGGAAAAATGTACTTCTAACAGTACTTTGATTGCACCATGTTCATTCACTCATGAGCTGCTGTAACATGAATCAAATGGCTGCATTGTGTGCTACTAATTGTGTGTTGCAGCAGGGACACATGGAAAAGTTTCAGGACACCGGCCCTTGAGGACTGGAGTTCGAGGCCCCTACACTACAATTAGAGTGCTTCATCTGAAATTACAAGTATTACAGCAAAGCAGCGAGTGAAATGAAGTGCAAATGATGACTCACAAATTAGGATGTGAAAGTGAACATTTACGAAACTGCCTTGTTTTCTTTGCTGCAGGCCTCTGAGGACCTCCTGATGAAGCATTATATTGACCTAAAGGACAGACCATTCTTTCCTACTCTCATCAACTATATGAGCTCTGGTCCAGTGGTTGCCATGGTAAGACTCTATGTATGTATGTATGCATGTCAACAGTTCAAGGTCAGATCTTAACCTCATTATCTGTCATGGTTGCTTCAGGTGTGGGAAGGCAAGGGTGTGGTGAAGACAGGCAGGGTGATGCTGGGAGAGACTAACCCTGCTGATTCTAAGCCTGGAACCATCAGAGGAGACTTCTGTATTGATGTCAGCAAGTGAGTTATCTTCGCATGATGGCAGATGTGAAACAATAGCGTGTATGAAGTGTATAGTCACTTTCTGACTCTGTCCTCTTCTTAAGGAACATCATCCATGGCAGTGACTCGGTGGAGAGTGCCAACAAGGAAATTTCCTTGTGGTTTAAAGATGATGAGCTTTGCAACTACACTAGTTGTGCCTTCAGCTGGCTCTACTGAGCTGCTCTGGGTCTGGAGCTCCCACCTCACCACTGCTTGGGCACAAAGTGAAACTCTTGCCTCAGATTTCCTGTGGTAAGCTGTAGCCTGGAGGGAGAAGAACTTGTGTAAATCCTTTGTCTTGCACAATTCACCCCTCTTGTCCTTTACATTACCACTGTGCTCTGGTTTGGTCTCTGTGGGGCCACATGTAGTCCGAATTCATTCCTGAGCAAAATTCCATCTAGTCCTTCAAAGTACATTGTTTAATGATTCCAAACCTGTCTTTGACCGTCTGTTTTGTTAATTTGCTTTACAATAAAATAGACAGGATGCCAGCTATTTTGTGTCATTGGTACTTATGTTCCTCTGTGTGTGTGTGTGTGTGTGTGTGTGAGGGGGGGGGGGTTAAAATGTGGTGACTTTAGGCAGGATTAGTGTTAATTAGCCTGACAGTCTGTATTAGCAACTTCCTAATTGACTAGATTAGGAAACTGCTTTCATACTGTCAATAGTTTAAAGCAACTTTATCATCCTTCTGGACATTGATGACTAATAAGAAAAATCAGTTCACCTTTCAGGTCTGAAAGTGAAGCTGATGTTCATCTCCTTATAACCTCTCACCCTAAATGAGTGTTTTATGGCTATTATCATCCCTCCGGGTTGGCCAGCAGCATTGATTCGATGATTCAATTTTCGATTCGATTTTCAAATTGACAGAATCTAGAGGTACGAAGACAGATTTTTAGTAGATAACAGAGTTAACTTTTCTGAAAATCTTGAGAATGAGGATGAGTTCATCATTAGAGATGAACTGCACTGCTGTGGGTGGCTGTAGCTCAGGTGGCAGAGCAGGTCAGCCACTAATCAGAAGGTCGGTGGTTCGAT